CTGGGCAGATGGGAGTCTCAATGTTTTAAGATCTATGTTAGACCTAATCTTTCTGTTTAATTTTAGGTGATAGAAGATATATGGATCCTGGGACACTTTTTTGTTTATTGGGCTTATAAAAAAACTGTAGAACGATGTTACACTACTAATATGTCCTTGGATCCGAAAAAATTCCAAGTTTTATGGAAAGGAATACGAGGTCTTCATTGGTCTAATATTTTCTTTCATCTTTCCAGGGTATTTGAAGTGTGGCCTGCTCCAGATATTTTAATTGTTCATCTCGGTGGAAATGATGTTGGTAATATAAATACTCTGGATCTAATGTTTATGATGAAGCGTGACTTACATCGCTTCAAATTATCATCTCCGAATACCACAATTATTTTCTCTGAGATAGTACCTCATCTTAAGTGGCTATTTTATCCAAAATGTAAAAATTTTGAAAAAATTAGACGTCTATGGAAAAGTTCATGCCTCTTTTAGGTGGCTTCTCCTATAGACACTTGGATTTAGAAGGAGGCTTTAGGGGGATATACAGGTCAGATGAGGTGCATTTAAGTGAAGTAGGTTTAGACATTTTTAATATGGGATTGCAAAATTGCATTGAGATGGCTGCGTGTGTGGGGTAGACCGGTCTTGAAATTTCAAGCTCGGCAGCTGGGGGACTGTTGTTATATGTATTCAGTTTGAGCTCGAGTCCTTAACAACTGAGCTATTTGATTGTTATTCGATAAGAGAAGTATAAACTTGATTATTAATTAAATTATAGTATTTGTTATTATTTATTTATTTAAACCAATAAAGTGCTGCGGCCAAAATTTTGCCATTAAAGATTGTGTGTGTCTGTTTATTTAGATAGTTAGTTATATATTGGGTATTTGGGAGAGGGAGAAAAGGTGCGGCCTGCATTCCCATGTGGTGGCTCTTTCTAGCCTTACCCAGCATCAGTGTTTCCTGGCAGTATAAGAAAACTTTAAGTAGAACTAAAGGCAAAATGTGTTTTTTTTTTTTTATTTTGGATTGAGTAAGGGAATGTTATAATCCCTGCCAAAGTGTGGGAATCCCTGGTTGTCACCAGGGTCATCAAAACTTGTGTTCTCATTGGAACCTTTCTCTTCTATCCCTGTTCTGGTGAAAACCTAAAATGTGCTATTTACTATAGCATTCACTCTCCGTGTTAATGGTCACAAAGACAAAAAGAGGGGGTGAACTTCCCTTTAGGGAATACAGACAAAATAAAACCTGACAGGTGTTTAATGCCTCTCCATTCTATCCAAAACAGAAAAAAAATGTTCGCCTTTGGTTATACTTTAAAGTGTTACTAAACCCACAACAGTAACATCAGTCTGCATATGCAGTAAAACATGTTTGTTATACTCACTGTGGAACCTAAGGGGTTAATCCTCTGCCTTGTGTAAAAACACTGTTTAATCCTGGCTTCTCTGATCCTCCCCTTCTTCCAGTGTTCCCCTCTTATCTGCTGATAAGACATATCGTGTGGAGACACTCTGCACATGCTCAGTTTGGTGTCTATTGCTAGAGAGGTTTTTTTTTTCTTGGGAGAGTGTATGTGATCAGCACAGGGCCGATCAGCACTGTCCAGACAGAGGTCAGGGGTTCTGCATCCTCTAAAGCAGAAAGAAAACTCCTACAAGCTTTAGCGATTCTAAAGGTTATTTTTTTTTGCGGCGGGGGAAATATTGAACATGTTATATTTATCTACTGTGTGCAGTGGTTTTCCACAGAGCAGCCTGGATCATATTCTTCTTGGGTCTCCCGCAGGCTCTCCTGGCTCCTCCTTTCTGTCGGGTGCCTCCATAGCAAGCAGCTTGTTATGGGGGCACCTGCTGCTCCGTGTGTCCATTCACACATGGAGCCGCGGCTTCCCCCCCTCCTCATTGTGATTGCCAATGGCTCCCGCTTGCTTTCTCAGCTAATGAGGAAGCAGAGACTCGGGACAGTCGAGGCTGTTGCGCACCATCGTGATGGATCGCGATGGGGCTCAGGTAAGTATTGAGGGGGATGGGGGCACTGCTGCACACAGAAGGTTGTTTACCTTTATCCATAAAATGCATAAAGGTAAAAAAACTTGAGCCTTTACAACCACTTTAAGCAGTGCTCGGCTGAACACTGATAGAAGTCACAAGACTGCTCTAACTACTGAAGAGAAAAGGTATTTAGTAGTTTATATTTACTAAAATAATTGCATTTCCATGTTGTGTGTACTGTGGGAGACCAGATATAATGAATGCAGGATCCTGGGTTTAGTAACACTCTAGCTGAAAGAATGTTACCTGAAAATGCTTTTAAAATGACTCTGTAATTGAAACAGAAATGAAAAGCCAAAAAGCTCATTTGAGAAAAGAAACATGATATTTATCTGTACACTCTTCTAGAAACTTTTCTCTGTTGCAGATCTATGCTACCCAAAAACTCTTCACATCTGACACATGTTCATGTGTGTTGGATTCCTGAGTCCTCCATTATGCTGTGTAGCTCCTCCTGCCAGCCTCTATTTCTTACAGACTGTAGTGATGAAAGGTTGCGTTAAAGGATATCAAAACCTCAAAACCATAAATTGACTAAATTGTAGCTTACCCGACAATAGATGTGGTGCCTGCATTTGTTTTGTTTTTCTAGGCATTTTCTGATATTACAAAAAAATACTTGTTTATCTTGCCAGATTTCCAGGGTCCTTGTAACTACTTGTGCGCTGAACTTATATATTAAAGTGTTACTAAACCCAGGATGCTGCATTCACTATATCTGGTCTCCCACAGTACACACAACATGGAAGTGCAATTATTTTAATAAATATAAACTGCTAAATACCTTTTCTCATCAGCAGTTAGAGCAGTCTCAGTGTTCAGCCGAGCACTGGTTAAAGCTTGTAGGAGGAGTTTTCTTTCTGTTCTAGGAGGATGCAAAATTCCTGACCTCTGTTTGGCCAGTACTGATTGGCCTTGTGCTGATCACATGCACTGTCCCAAGAAAAAAAAAAACCTCTCTAGCAATACACACCAAACTGAGTATGTGCAAAGACGTGGACATTTGAACAAGAGAAGGAGCAGAGAAGACAGGATCAAACAACCTTTTAACACAATGCAGCGGATTAACCCCTTAGGTTCCACAATGAGTATAAAAAGCATATTTTACTGCATATACAGACTGATCTTACTGTTGTGGGTTTAGTAACACTTTAAATAATGTTAGCAGCTTTCACAGCCATGTTCTGTGAACAACAGTACAATTATTCTCTTTGTATTGGAGATTAGGGGTGAAGGAGTGGTTTGTACATCAAATCAGGAGTGGAGCCTGTTGTAACATCGCTGTTCCTCCATAGATACAGTACAGTGAGCAAAAATCACCAGGAGAAAAGAAAAGAAAATGCACCAATAAAAAATGAAACTAATGCAGCCAGCACATCTGGTAATATCTTTTTTCTGTTTGTGGGTTTAAATTCATTTTAAGTATTAGCATAGTAACTCCCACAATGGGTATTTAGAAGTTAGCTTGTAAAACACAAATCGACGGGTGAAATGATTTTCTATAATGGCATACAAATTGAGGTACCTGTTTATAGAAGTTGATATTGATAGTTTGCCATATATGGCATTGTTTTTCACAATTTTGCCTATTTGTAGTGCTGCCCTTGTAAATTTCGCCCTCCCCTTTGTACCATTTTTTTCACTTTAAGTTGACATAGCAAATTTTCATTTTAAACTTTAAAGAATCTTGAAAAAAAATTAACTATGGATTAGGCAAAAGTATATTAAAACAAAGAACAGTTATTCTGCTAACCTTAAAATAGAACTGTATGCAGACTATTGGCATTCAAATATTTATATGTTCTTAAAGCAGAACTCCTGGCCAATTTAAAGACTGAAAAACAAAACAATTTTTGCCTCAATAGCTTCAACCCAGATTTTTTCCCCCAAAGTACTTTTTCGTCATTAGATGTCCTGATGGCCAGCCTAATTCACCCCACATGTTATCTGCGCTCAGTTCCTTCTGGACTCACCTCAGCCTGTGACTGTCACTGTTTTTTCCTCCCATCAGTTCATTAGTACATGAACTGTTTGGCACCTTGAACTGCTTCTTCTCAGAGTTCAGCGCTGTTATACAGGGACTACAAGAGGCAGTTATGTATTAATGTATCAGTTATGTATTAAAGTGTTACTAAACCCACAACAGTAAAATCAGTCTGTATATGCAGTAAAGCATGCTTGTTATACTCCCTGAGAAACCGTAATGGGGTAAATCCTCCACATTGTGTAAAAAGGCTGGTTGATTCTGTCTTCTCTGATCCTCCACTTCTTCTACTGTCCCCAATCCATCCACTGATAGTACAGAGCTCTAGGAGTCACTCTGCACATGCTCAGTTTAGTGTGTGTTGCTAGAGAGTTTTTTTTCTTTGGGAGGGTGCACAGCACCAATCTGCACTGTCCAGACAGAGGGGCAGGGATTATGCAAACTCGTAGGACAGTCAGAGCAGAATGAAAACTCCTCTTAGAAGCTTTAAAAGTCACAAGACTGCTATATACTGCTGATGAAAAAAGGTATTTAGCAGTTTATATTTACTAAATTTGTTGCATTTCCATGTTGTGTGTACTGTGGGAGACTAGATATAGTGAATGTAGGGTTCTGGGATTGGTAACACTTTAATTACAGGGGTACTGTCTTTTATATATGTCCTCACTGACTGCCAGCAATGTTACCCCTGTGTATCTCTCAGGGGATAACATCTCTAACTATTCACAATTAGTTACTCTAAAATAATTATTAGTAAAATTGAGGCTTAACCGCCTCCCGCCCACCATATAGTAATATGACTGATGCAAGGCGGTGCTCTCATTCTGGGAGGACGTCATATGACGTCCTTGTATTCTAACCGCTCATGCACGGCTGCCGGAGCGCGCAGTGCTGCGATTGGTGGTGCGCTGTGTCCCTCGGACACAGCAGATCACCGATCCACGGAAAGAACCGAAGATGTTGGCTTGGTCATGTGATCATCTGTGTCCAATCACAGCTGATCACATGTAAATAGGGAAATGTCGGTTATCGGCATTTCTCTCTCCTCACAAGCTGTCACGCTGACAGCTCGTGAGGAGAGGAGAGCCGGTAATCGGCATTCCTCGGATGGGACATGTACACAGATCATCAGAGCACTGATGATCAGTGTGCCCTGACGATCTGTGTAGTGCCAGCAGCGCCACCTGTCAGTGTCCATCTGTGCCAGCTCTCAGTGCTCATCCATGCCATCTGCCAGTGTCCATCAGTGCCACATTTCAGTGCCACATCAATGCCACATATCAGTGCCCATCTGAGCTGCCTTTCAGTGTCACCCATCAGTGCCAGTCAGTGCCACCTATCAATGCCAGTCAGTGCCACCGATCAGTGCTGCCAATCAGTGCCAGTCAGTGCCGCCTATCAGTGTGCATCAGTGTCGCCTATCAGTGCCAGTCAGTGATGCCTATCAGTGCTGCCTAACAGTGCCAGTCAGTGCCACCTAACAGTGCCAGTCAGTGCAGCCTATCAGTGCCATATATGAGTGCTGCCTTTCAGTGCCCATCAGTGATGCCTGTCAATGCCCATCAGTGCCACCTACCAGTGCCTCCTCTTCAGTGCCCATCAGTGCCACCTATCAGTGTCCATCAGTGCAGCCTATCAGTTCCCATCAGTGCAGCCTCATTAGCGCACATCAATGAAGGAGAAAAATCACCTATTTACAAGATTTTATAACACAAATAAGAAAAAAAACTTTTTTTTTAAAAATTTTCAGTGGTTTTTGGTTTGTTTAAGAAAAAATAAAAAACCCAGAGGTGATTAAATACCACCAAAATAAAGCTCTACCTGTCTCAAAAAAATGCTAAAAATGTCATATGGGTACAGTGTTGCATGACTGCGCAATTGTCATTCAAAGTGCAACAGCGCTGAAAGCTGGAAATTGGCCTGGGCAAGAAGGGGGTATAAGTACCCTGTAGTCTAGTGGTTAAACAAACTTTTAAGGAAACCCTTCATGAAAATTCTACCTGCTGTACTGTCATAATAATTCATTGACTTCAATACTTTCTAAATCATTTGAACTAGAACAAGTATAGGACTTAGGACTAACTTTTTTCGTATTTCCTCAATGCCTCTGTCAAGATTCTGGGAAGATTGAGGATCTCAAATGTTTGGAGAAGATGCTCCTCACAGTGCTTTCATCTTCTCTCTTCTTGTGAGGTTTGGGATACTCAATGTTTCCAGAATCTCCCCAGAAGAATCATGAAGTCATGCTCTCTAATGCAGAAGGTGGTTGTAAGGTAAGTATATTTTATAACTGTTCTCTCCTGCACTGTTCTCCAGGATGCACTATACTACATGTGCATTTATTCGTATGTTCTTAGTTTATGTGCTTGATCTAGACAAAGACATTAAGTTCTTATTAATTAGAAAGCAAAATTACCAACAGGCCACAGCTGCCAGCCTTGAAACTACTGCGGTCTCCAGAATCGTTGATGTGACTAAGTGTATTTGCTGGCTGGTGTTATCTGATGTGGGCTGCACAGTACATTAGCACATGTTTTTTGGCCGTCAAGACTGCATTGAATCTTCACAAGTGAGAACACATAAACATTACTGCTCTTTTAGCATAGCTGATAACTGATTTTAAGAGACAGGCTCTAGTTTGAAGATTTCACTGGAAAGTTACCTAGTCAATTGGGTTTAAAGAAAGGCACTCATTCCTCAAGTGGAACTGTGTTTGACATGTCTCTGGGTTTTAGTTCCCACCAGTTCCCTTTTTTGTAGCACATGAATTCCTAATGTATTTTTATTATGGATTTTTATGTTACCAGAAAGCAGTGCCTAAATTAAAAAAAAAGTACTTTATAAACCAGTTCAGGAAACATGGTATAATGGTACGATTTGGGCAATCACTCTCTGTGATTGCATAATTCATTAAAAAATCTTAAAGGTGACAAACAAATTTTCATTACTCTGCTTAGCAACTATAAAACACCAGGTACAGCATGTACTAATATTAATCTTTTCTTACATAAAGCTTGTATTATTTCTATACTTGTGTACATCTATATACTTATGGTTAATTTTATATGCTGGTTTCAGTAGTTCTTCTGCTCCCAATTTCTCTGTTTAGATTTCTGATTAATTTCTCAGGAAGGGAGAGGCCCTGTCCAAGGTTCTAGTTTTCTTATTTACCTACAAGTTTAGCACAATATCCTGTTTGGGGAGGGCCATTTCTCATAACAACTCAAAAAGAGGGTTACACTTATAATCTTACCTAGGATAAATTAATTATTATATTCCTGTAGCACCTACCCCCTAAGGAGCCATTGGATTATTCATGCCCTTTTAGCGTTTGTATTTGAAATCCAGTTTACAGCTGCTTCAAAACACTCACCGACCCAGCAGTGAAGACAGAATGACCAACATTTGTTCTATCAGTCTTTTCTTACAGGTTTCATTAGCTCAATGTTCAAGGGAGAGATGGAATTGGAAATACAGGATACCCAAAAATCAGTGACAACAATCCCCTATGTTTAGAAGAAGAACTCTCAAGGGCTAATAGAGTGCATTTTAGCCAATACTGGCAACCTTCTGTTATGTCCCTTTAAGCAGAGAAAATGGACTGAGCATTTTCTCTCTGAAGGTGCTCCCCCTTAATAGCCCCTAGTATAGGACCTTTCTAATCCTTGGAACTTGACTCTGAAGCTGTGCCCTCCTCAGGCAGTAGGAATGGGATGCTATGACTTGATCCCTCACATTGGCATTTTCTGCAGAAAAACCCTGAACCTTTTAGAAGAACGCTTCAAATCAACTTCCCTAGACTACACCACTGACAATAAACCTCCTAGTGAGGCTAGGCTGAAAAAATTGTTGTAACATAATCCATAACATAATCCATAACATTGTATTTATTTGCTCTATCTCCTGGAGAACACTCCCCAGGAGCAGGCAGAAATAATTAATGCCTTAGGCTTAGAAGAAACCCTATGAATACAGAAAAACATACTGTAAACAATCAGAGCTTAGGCTAGCTACAGCTTAGCAGTCCAACAAATATGGAATAAGGACACTCCGATTTATGGCACAGTTCCTCCATTTCCCTATAACATGACATTTAGCCTGAGTAAAATGGACTCAATGGCCATCCTCTGTTGAATTAAAGCTAGCTTTCGAACTATAAAAAAAGATTAATTCAATAATGATTTCATTGACAAATGACATTTAATTTTAAAATGCAGTTACTCCAAGCTCTTGCATTTGAGTTGGTAACAGCCTCTCGTAATTGTATGTACTGCAGCATCATTACAAATCCTTTGGCAAGTAAAACAAAAACTGCAATATTTGTGATTCACCTGTGTATTCCCTTGTTTGTCTGGAGTTAAAGTATGTATATATAGCTAAACAATTGTATGTAATTTTAGATAGGGAAGGGTTAAATAATTATAATTTTTTTATGTCCCATTGGGGAGATTCCTCTTTACTTCCTATCCAACATAAAGTGAGAGGAAATTTCTACAAAGTGAGAGAATTCCTCTCTTGGTCATCAGCACAAGAAGTGGAAAATATCCTTTTTCCTTCTGTTCTTGTAGCAACTGTAAAACTTCTGATGTAAAGTTCTGTGAGATTGTCCACCTCCCCACAGAGACACAGTGCGGAACAAGGCATGATAATCAGTAATTGGGAAAGATCAGAGACCGCAGGCAAGACTGCTAATTATATTTTCTGCTCAATGAGGGAACTGGAACATTCTGTCCCAGTGAAAATTGTCACCAGGACAAATCGTGAAGGTGGATTTCCCCAGTGGAGACAGCCCAATAAAACTGACAAGGGTTCTAACTCTTCTTTATTCTATTCAAAACTGGAAAAAAAATTGGCTTTAAACAAATTTACAGGGTTGTGATATCATGTGTTTCATGACTTGCTGTTTTCACAAACCAAGGAGGTAATTTTAGCTCACTGCATACAATATTGTGCTCTCTGCCTTCCACTATGTTGACAAGTTGGATATTGTATGGAGGCACCTCTCACACAGTAGGATGGGCACAACCTGTAGGCTTTTAAGGACTTTGCTCCTTAAACCTCAGTCTGGGAACAACAGGTCATGCCATGGCCAGTAAAACAGTCTTAACAGGTGCACTACACTTTTATTTTACTGTAAATCCTAAAAAGATCTGTTTTTCATCAATGGAATCCTGCAAACAGTGCTGCCAGAGATCCCAAATGAAGGCAAGATCTTCTATTGCATCTAAATGCAAGCTCCTACCTCTATGGCTTGGGTAGCAGCAAACCTCCTAGCTGACTGCCTGAATAACTGCAATTTAGGGCGACACATCACTGGATCCTGTAAACATGTACCTCAATGTTTCAGTTTGGCATTAGCTTGTGCTTCCCATACACTTGCCAACTTTTTCCTTCACTGCTCTTTGCACCTGGCCCCCACTGTGCCCAGACCTTGGCTACCCCTAAGAGCATTCATTCCCTACGACATGGGAAGTTATTGCAGGAAAGCCCTCCTAGACTCTATTGCTCATGGCCACTAGTAAAAATGGCATGTCACTTGTTCACAGAAACAGTAACAGTGCAACGCAGCCATCAAGAAGGTTGCAAAAAGAATACACAGGGAGAGCAAATGCCTAGGGCATTATACAGGATTTATTGAAGCAAATAAACAAAGCCAATTTAATTCTCACAAAAGACAGAAGTATTATGCATGGATAAACAACTAATGGTCAACTAACATGGTAGCAGGTTCCAAACTGTTGGTGGTGTTGGTAAACTGACTAGTTTCGGGGACATGTCCCCTTCCTCAGAATTCTGAGGAGCTCTAGGTGTTTGCGCTCCCTGTTTGTTCTTTTTTCAGTTTATGGGTGGATCCCCTTGTCTGAGGAGAGCTGTACCATTAAGGCACTTTCTGTTAGGGAACACTCACCTTGCAACACACTCCAAACTAGTGACTTTTCCCTTTGAGTGCTGGAGAAGTTGTTTGTTGAATCGAGAAGGTTGTGGCTACCTACGTTGAAAAATTTGACATTGACAGTAAGTAAATGTTTGACTCCAACTACTTTCTGACAAATTTTATTTCAGTCGCTTTGACAATGAAAACCAAGAGATTTGAGTCATGATGAGCCGATGCGTATTTTTACCCATAGGGTTTAAATGTTTATGCGCTGTTAGTGTTTGAATAAACTTTTTTCTTTTTCTTTTCTGTTTGGTAGTCTTTATTTAGTTTAATAAATAAAGACGTACATACAGTTTAGGGAGCAGATTAATTTATAGAATTAATTGAAGAGACTATTTAAATATACAATCATTGACCCATGTGAGCTAATCATGGACTGATTATATTTTCTGCTCAAATAAGTGGAAAATGTTGAGCACAATTATTTCAAATGCAGAATTCAGCAATTTAAATATTTTCAGATTGTCTAGCTAGTGGAAATAGATTTAATTACAGTGAGTTTTAGTTTATCATAAAATACAGGCCATGCAAAAGATTTATGATACAGAAAACATATATATGTAAATGTAGATTATCGTGTTTCTTTAACTAGGAGGTAACCAGCTATGCGCTCTCTGGCATGTGTAATATCTTGCTTCAATCCTTCCTAAGGCTGTAAATAACACAGATTCATACATTTTCTCTTGATTTGTGTAGTGGGGCATTTTTTGAATGATGGCATCTTACGTTTGTATAGTG